TTCTACGTCTTGTTTACCGTGCTCAACTTGAGCGGTGTGGCGCTGTCGTTCCGCGTCCAGGTCGCTACGACAGTGCTGTCGGTCGTGATCCTCCTTGTGTTTTACGTGGGCGCGATCTCGAAAGTCGACTACGGCTTGTGGGTGAAGCAACAGGACTGGGAGTGGAAAGACGGCGCGCCTGGCCTCGTCAACGGGTTCTCGTTCGCGATGTGGTTCTTCCTTGGAATTGAAGAGCTGCCGCTTGCTATCGAAGACACGATCGACCCGCACGTGAACATGCCGAAAGGTCTCCTTTCGTCCATCGCGACGTTGCTTGTCCTGGCATTTGCAACGTCCTTCTTCAACACGGCCATCGCGCCAGGGGCCGCGGCCATCTTTGCATCGGCGTCGCCGCTCTTGGACGGATACAAGACTATCTTTGGCGACAACAGCGTCACATCAGGGTTCTCTTGGCTGTTAATCGTCGGCCTCTTGGCGAGCTTCCACTCGTTCATCTATTGCATGGGACGCCTCGTGATGGCGATGGCCCGCGATGGATTTCTGCCATCCATGTTGGCCAAAGTCCACCCGGTACGCCAAACGCCGACGGTCGGCATCCTCGTCGGATCCGTGCTCGGCTTGGTTACGGTGATCATCATGTATTACGCGATCGGGTTCGTACGCCTTGGCGCAGTACTCATCAATTTGGCTCTCCTTGGGGCCCTCATCTCGTACGCTTTCCAACTGGCGTCGTTCCTGGCGCTGCGCATCCGCGAGCCGGATCTCCTTCGCCCGTACAAATCTCCTTTCGGCGTGCCTGGGGCGATCTTGTGCTTAGTCTTGGTAGCCTACGCCGTCTTTACGATCATCCACCAAGGATCGGCCAGCACAGATTTTTTGGTGTCGATCGTGATTGCGGCCATATATTTTGTCGTGGGTGCCGTCTGGTTCGTCGGGTTCGCTCGCCACCACATCCATCCGCTGCGCTTGCTCCACGACGGCTACGTCCATGTCGAGTCGCCCGCTGCGAAAGGAACCACCGTGTAAGGAACCGTGTTCTGCACTTGGTATTCTGGACCATGGTGGAATTGGCGAGGTTGACCCTGTGGTAGCCCTTGACAACGTTAGAGACGTGGTTTGTAGGAGAGGTATTGTCACGTCAATCAATGGCACGACCGGGGCTTCCATTTTATCGAACTATGGGCACCGCTCTCGCATGATCGGAGGGACGAGGCAAGTGGCGGCGTCCTGACGGTCTCCGTACGAAAAGAGTTGTCGTGCGGCGCCATCACAATGCATGCTCCCTGCGGCGGACCTCTCGGTGGCAAATTTTATCACGAACTGCGCTACGCACTGTTGAGTTGTTGATGGAAGGACTACACAGCGTCGGCGCTCGTCCATGGAGATGTTGGCACGGCCGTAGATTGTGGGCAATGCAGATTGCACGAGCAGCCGGCAGGCATTCGAATCTCCTGCCACCGACGTCTTTGCTTAGTTTTGGCTTACACGACCGTCGCATTAAGAGCTGGGGATCACGTTGACGAGGACAATTGCTCATGGAGCCCAGACGCGCTCGTCGTCCGTCCAATTTCACAGTCTGCAGATAGGTGTCGAACGATCGCTGTCTCCATTTGAGCCAAAAGTTTTTGTCGGAATCGGCTGGCTCGAACGCGATCTCTCTCGATCTTGGTCCTGTCGGCTAGACAAGAGCCAACCCAACGCCCACCCTTCTGACGTGTTTTGACGAGGGATTGCGTTATGTGCGGACGTCTGGTGCCGTCTCAACTTGGCTCCACCCTCCCCCCGTTCTTTCGCCCGTTGCTTGAACTCGAACCATATCGTGCGCACAAAGCGCGATTCGATGATGCTGCTACCGTTCATGAATCTACAGTATCGACCGACGCTGACGCGACCGGTTTCGGCAATTTGCATGGCTGGTGCATCATTGGGTTCTGGCACACTGCGGCTGGCACATGCGCGCGACTATACAGCATTGAAACGCTGGGATGCGATCAATATGGCAATGGAAACGTCCCCTGTAAGGTGGAAGGGGTGCATGCCGTGGTTTGGATGATGGGTTGGTCTGCCGTTGTAAAAATATCGTCAAGACATTGCCATCCATCAGCAAGGCGTTGGCCACCTATTTTTGACGAGCTCCAGAAGGAGCGTTCCACTGCAAGCATTGCACAACTGCTGCACGACTGGAACTAGCTTCACAAAACATGGACGCTGCCACCGACGACAATTGGGCTTGCCCCGAATGCACTCTACTCAACAAACTCTTGGCTGAAGCGTGCGAAGCGTGTGGCGCCACGAGCCCCCTCGTCCTAGCCGCGCTCGCGGCGCAGTCCGAGTCGACCGAGCGTGAGCGAAAAGATTCGGAGGAATCCAATTCGTCGTCCCGGCCATCGCGTGGGTCATCCATGGACGAAGACTACAAGAAAGCCGTCGACTTGGACCCGTGGTCCCAGGCCGAAGACGAATGGGCTCGAGTCGAAGCGACCCAAGCCACGAAGACAACCAAGCCGCGAAAATAGACGCGCACGCCTTCTTTTTTAGCGGTGGAAACGTGGCAGCATTGCCGCCTTGAACAACTTACTTGGCTACACACCACCCACCAATGCATGCTGCGTCTCGGGTGACCTGGTTGAATGACAGGGACTGTAACACTAAGCCCACATTACTTTAACCACCGACCTAGCCTGGTCGGGTAGGATAAAGTCTTGCTGCGTCGAGTCGTGATAATCGATTTCGTAGATGCCACGAGGCGGGTGAGACTTCTATGGCGAAGATCACAAACAATGAGCGGCAATGAACATGGGCGCTGATGGATGGTTGGGACGGAGCGGGACTATCCATCTACTAACTCACTCAGCTCGATCTGTTGCCGGTAGATACCGAATATGTAGCGGCGATGCTACATTGAGTTAAAGGCCGATAGTAAGGAGTAAGGACACACGTGGGAAGTGGCAACTTCAACCGACTTGGACGAAACTGAGCTGTCGCACAGCTACGAGGCTGTGGATTTGCATACGATTGATGCTGTTACTAAATACTCAGCACGTATGACTTCCACATGACACGGCCAAACACGACCGGTTTCGTCACCTCACCCGTGCAACAGCTATCCAAGGCTCTCGGCGTTCGAAGTCGGTTGCCCAGTACCATCGTCGCTCTCTCAATATTAAACTGACTCAACATGGCTCTGCACTCTTCGTTGTGGTCCGATGAGTTGCATGTTTCGCAGGCCGCCATGGGTTGCCCCTTCAAGATCTTCTACGCACCGTTTCGTACACGTTACGTTACAATCATTTTTTCTAACATACAATAAATACAAACGTACGTTACACTCGTACAAGACAAGGTACACGTAAGAGGCACGTTGCGATTTCTTCGACAAAAGCAAGTTAGCAACCATGTTGGCGCACGACGAAGTGGTGGACTACTTCTCGCTTCACAAGCGCAAGTCGAAGGAGGTTGATGTCGACATGCTGGACTACGAATACGTGGCTTCCTGCTCGGACATTGACCTCCTGAAGAACATCTTGGTTGTGTTGAAATCTGGCAAGGAAGGGCGGTACCCGCAACTTGAAGCCGCTGTTGAAGAGCGGCTCATGGAGGTCTTGCCCCCATCCGAGAAACAACGGATTCTTCGCATGAAAGCCCGCCCGTCGGAGGCGGATATTCACAACGAGACAGCGTCTCTAACGACGTGGGAAGCTCAGATGGCCGCCAAGAGCGCTGAGTTGGACGCTGCGCGGAAAATGTCCCATCGATCCGTGCCGCCACCTCGAGGTAGCGAAATTTCTGGGGGACCTGCGACTGCAGTTCGCCTCTCAACCAAGCAAGCTGCTACGCCAGTGCCCAAGAGAGAGAAGAAAGCGATCCATGCTTACGATTGGCGTGCGTGGGAGAAATTTGATGTTGAAGCGGCAGAGCGTGAGCTCGACATGGAGGACGTACGCCGCAAAGAGATGGCGAGGCAACAGCAGGAAGAACTGGCGGCACGACAGGCTCGGAAACGGCTGGATGATGCCGCTATGCCGGCTTCTGTGGACGTGGATGCTATGTCGTCTGCAGAGAGGGACGTGTGCGCCGCGTTGGAGAAGCAAAAAGGCAACGAAGCATTCCGAAGCGGGGACAACGATGATGCTGTGCGTGCCTACTCCCGCAGTCTCGCGTTCGATCCTTCGAGCGCTGTGGTGTTTGCCAACCGGGCACTCGTCCACCTCAAGCTGAAAAACTTGAGCTCGGCCGAGGACGATTGCACGATGGCCCTTCGTCGCGATCCGCGCTACTTCAAAGCATGGTCCCGTCGAGGTATTGCCAGTCGACGGTGGAGTCAACCCATAGACTCATATGCATTTGCATAGGCATGACGCGTTTCCGACGCGGCAAGTACGAAGACGCGATCTCGGATTTTGAAGTGGCACTGCAGTTGGAGCCTCAGAATCGAGAAATCCAAAAGCTCCTACAAAAGACAAAGGAAAAGTGGGCGGAAGTCGACGGGACGAAAGCCGACAGCACAGCGACGACACCGGCCCCTGTCGCGACGTCGCAGCCCGCTGCGCCATTTCAACGCTTCGAAATCATCGAGTCCGACGACGATGATGATAAAGACGACACAACCCCCACCCTCGAGAAGAAGCAGCCAAGGAACCTCGATGAGCGAAATGGAAAGCCTCCTGCACAACCTGCGGAGGACCAGCCATTCCAGCGCTTCGAAATCATCGAAGACGATGACGAGTAGCGATGATGATGCTGGGCTCATCGACGAAGGGCGTACAGGAGTGGTTTATACCTTTGTTAATTGATCGAATGCCCCACTGATGCAATGCACTCGTTGCACAGGTGAGCCTAAACTTGAAAAGGGGCTAGCCACCACCACCAAAAGGACACGGCCGGGTGTGGCATGCCCGCAAGGGCATCTTCGGTTTCAAGTGAAGTCGATGTTCCATCGAAGATAATCCGTTGAATGAACGGCATCTGCCTATGTTGGTAGATTTGATCGGCGATTGTAGAACGTAGTCTAGGATATCGCTTTGAGTGCCGTGGTCTCTACCCAGTAACTCGCCAGGGCGATGTCGGCGTACCAGGCAAAGGAAGTTGAGGTGCATAAACATAGTTTAATTGAAGTGTGATGGGGGGTATAGTGTGAAGGCGTTGGCAGAGTTATGGCTGCAGCTGAATCACGCCAAGACCAGGCTTGGACGTGGTCAGGAAGTACGATCGAGAGTCGCCAAGCGACAACACGACAGCTTTGAGGACGTGGCCGGGGCGGAACATCTCTTCCAATTGCAACTTGTCAATGTCGACCGGTCGAACATCTTCTTTCCGCAGAGTCCCGGCAAAGGGTTCGTGCAACACGACATCGTTGACAGCGTGAATGTCAACCTGCACTTGAGATGACGTCACTTTGGTCACCTTGGCCACGACAAAGTCGTCCACACGAAGCACGCCGGTCGACGCGATTCGCTTGCAAGTTGGACGTTCAACGTTCAGTGCTCCATGTAACACTGGAGTCACATGGCCCGCCACCGATGCAAAGATATTGCCGTTCAAGACGTACGTGCCGCTCCCGGCAGTGTAGTCGCCTTCCTTGCCGAGGCGCTGCCCTGGAACGACCGCCATCTTCGTTGCCATCGCTTGAGCGCAAGCACCAATTATTGTGTTGGTGGAAATCCAGATAATTGTACGGATAGTTTGACTCCTTTCGGTTATCCGGAAGGCAAGGTTACCACATCGGCCAGACTGCAGTGACAATCGCGACGGGCTTCGTGATGGGATTGCCGTTGGGCTGGAGCAGCCAAGGAAGCGGGATCGCCATGGGGGCAGTCCTCGGCATGTTCTGGATGCGCGTGATCATTGGTTTTACCTACTTGGAAGCGTCGTTTTACTTGATCTTTCCGCTGTCGCTCACAGTCGTCGTGCTGGAGGAAGAGCGGTCTCTCGGACCTGTCGTCGACGCCATGTAAGATACACATGCTTGTGTGGCTGCCTGTATTCATCCCTGCAGTAGACTGCGGAAGGTTAGCTCGCTTGTCTGGATGGCCATGCATGCCGACGCCCCTCCATCTATCGAGAGTTCAGTCGTGGAAGGGAATTGCGACGAAGACGCAACCCTCCTTCCACGGCCGTCTGATCCATCGTTGGATGTACACTACAAGGCCTCCAATACATCGGACCTCATCACCAGTGCCAACAGCTCGCTCTTCAATGGCCTTCAAGACGATCTTGTCGACCACGCCGTCATGTCTACTGGCGGGCCTATTTACCTTCAGGACACCACCACTGGTTTCTTCTTGAAGTATGTTGATGGCAAGGTCAAAATGACAAGCTCCCCCGACGACTCGTGCCTGTTTGAGTGGGTTCAAGGCAAGACCCACCACTGGGGCCTCTTGTCCATGGCGAGTTCGCGCTTCGTAGGCCAGAACATGTTATCCCAGGTGTGAATGGACCTGTTCATGGACCTGCCATCGTCATACCATTGTGGGATTCCGTTAGATCGTCGTGTCGGCGCGTAAACTGAACAATTGGGAAGCGTTCCGCGTGCTTCAGAACGGTACGAATACCCTCTCTCCTTCTCATCCATCACGGTGTACATCACAGCGTCCTTGCCTCCAACGTCCGGGGAGTTTGGTCTGTCCAGCCCTGTCCACCTCGTCCTCTGTTCTGCACGGTTCGGCAAAGGTATTGCGATCTCTCTTATACGCACCTCTTCAAATTCGGGAATGCTTTGATCCGATCACCTCTCGGCTAGCGACCCCAGAGGCGATCCCATCACCCTTGAATTGCTCGTATGTGGTTCCATGCAATGGCATGACGTCGGGTTGAATAGGCATGTGGGTGTCGTCTCGGGGCCAGGACGATGACAAACTTGTGGTGGGGCTGGCCAAGCACTTTCACGTGGCGCTTCGACTTCGATATGCAACGTCGCTGGACGTATTCCAGTCTGCCGCACTCCCATCCGCGTTACAATTGGTATCGCCATTAGCATCGCCCCTGTCGAGCAATTCTCGACGGAGCGTGAGCCCAGCGTCTCCAGGGGCTACGTTGGCCGATGTCGCCGCCGCGAAGTTTCCAATATCGTTCCATGAGGCCACAACGCGGACGTCGATTCTCAAGAATCATGCGCTGCCATCCAGGTACCCCTTCCTTCTTGCACAGCGGTGTGCGATGTTCGCACGATGTCGAATCCATGGATGCATGTCGCTTCAAGTCATGGCCTGGTCCTCGATCGTGACTGCATGCATCGCCCCGCTCCAGCAGTCTTACTCTCATGTGTGGGTAGTGTCACGAGTGCGACTTCGTTTGCCGAAGCGTACGACGCACTTCTTCCGGGCCACACAGACATGTGGCAAGTGCATCCCACCCATGGCAACGTCCGCAATGTAGTTTATCGCGTTGCCACGGCAAGCTCCGGCGGCGACCTGGTCGAGTTGCCAACGTCTCCCCGATCCCGAACGGTCGCAGGCGTCCTCGTCCATGAATTCCACCATCACGAGTACAATGCGGATGCAAATCAAGTCGTGTTCGAAACGAAGATGACACTGGGCGACGGACTCGTCCCGTCCTTCGCCATTGAGCTCATGTATTCAATGAAGCAGCAGTCCATCGTCCCGAGCAGTTCGGGTCGAGCGTCGTTCACCCAACCGCCGATGGCGCTTGACTGTCGTATTGGCGTGCTTTGGGCCAAGCCGTGCATGTTTGAAGGGTATGTACACTTGAGCGCCGTCCGCGCCGCGACGTTGCATGCGCAGCATCTCGTGGAGCACATGTCCAAGCCAAGTGCTGCGTCGCCCCCGTTCTCGACAACTTGGTGGACGATGAGCTTTGGAGCGCTGTTCGTGCACGAGATCCACAGACGCTTCGCCACCCCCACGCACGTCCTCGCTGTCCCCCGCGGCGTGTTTTTCGAGAGACCGTTGACCCCAGTGTACACGGCATCGTGGCCCATCACACCGACAGAGTTTCAGTCGCGGATGCTCACCGACTCGGCCTGGTTTTTCCGTGAACGAGACCCCGCAACGGTGCCGAATGCACTCGACATGAGCCCGTGGGCGCCATGTGCTGACGGACACATTCGGTACGGCAGCGACCATTTGCTCGATGGATCGTGACTGACTTAAGCACTACGTTAGGCTCCAGCGGTTCACGTTTGCTCTGGCCGGTCGCCAAGAGCTCGTAGAGGAGTTCCAGACGTATGCGATTCCAGGTACAATTCCAATCGATATCGTGAACGACGTTCGGGGCGCAGTGTACTCACGAGGATGCCACTACATGCAGAGCCGAATACACTGCAAATTGGACGCAAAATCACTCTGCCACGAAGCAAACTGTGGACGGTACGTCGTTCGCATGGACACAGACGATGGTGATGACGAAAAATGTTGCAAAGATGGACATCCGATGGGACTTTGAGCTCCAAGAAGACATGGTGTCGACCGTTGCCTGCGCCGTGGCGCTTCAATGGACACCCCCTCGGCCTGCTCGTGCCGAAGCCATCGAGAAGCACGTGATTGCAGGTGGGCTACCAAAGTCACCCATGCACTCGCCCTTGCGCTTCCTCTCCGCGACATTGATCACCTCAACTTTTTTGTAGTCATGCTGGCCTCCATTGAGAGATTCCACGTCCTCATTTCCAGCCAAGAAGAGGACGAGAACATGCCGTGGCCCGATCAACTCACGATGCCGCTTGTTGAAGCGATTGTGGGTTAGACCCTCATTTTGAATCTCCAACCACAATCACATAATTTCTCACCAGACGGGTTCGTTCACGAGCAAGGCAATAAACTCCCGTCCTGCTAACTCTCGCCAAAGCTTGGCTAGCAAACGCATGAATAGTATAGTTTAGTTCGTTTCCTTAGCAATGCAGAGTTGCTCTGGAGTAGCATTCCGTGGCCGACATGTGGCCAACATGGACTGGGTTCATTTTAATGTAATACAAAGTGTATTTTGGTGAGATCTTATGATGGATTGGTTCTGTTCAATTGGTCTGCGCAACCGAATGTTATCCGGATACGCATTCGTCAACTTTCCACGATGGCCGACGACGCACCTTCCTTTCTCACGCTCAAGCAGGTCAATGGCGATTCGCACCGCATTGAGATTGATGTGGCGGCTGTAACAGTGCTCGAACTGAAGTTGTCTGTACAAGCTAAGCTCAACTACCCTCCTGAGGCGCAGCGGTTGATCTTTCAAGGTCGCGTCATGGACGACAGGCAACTCCTGACTCACTACTCACTTTCGTCGGGACTCACGGTACATCTCGCAGTGAACACTAAGCTTGCTCCATCAGCATCTGCAGGTCAGTCTACTGTGCCTGCTTCTACGGCGTCACCCCCCAGTGCGACGCCTCCTGCTACGGCTGTGCTACAGCAACTCCTGCCACTCTTGCGGACACAGCCTGGTGGCCCGGCCGCCATTGCGACGTTGAAGAAGATGGCCGAAAACATTCTTGCCAACCCAACGGAGCAAAAATATATGAAAATTCGCCTCAACAACGAAGCCCTGAAGCGCAAGATTCTGGATATTCCTCATGGTTTGCAATGCGTGCAAGCTATGGGGTTTGCCCCTGGAATTGAAGACGGATACCTCGTAATCGTGCCGACTGCTAGCAACTGGGATCTCGTCGTGGCGTCCAAGCGCTCGTTGGATCAATTCGACGCTGCCCAGCAAGTTGCCTCCCCGTTCCAGCCATTTTTGTCGCAGCAAAATCCTGCATCGTTTCCGTCGGCTGCCCCTGGCAACATGTCACCCGAGTCACTTTTGGCCATGTTGGACAACCCCATGTTTGCTCAAATGGTGGCGTCGGATTCACGGCTCCAACAGATGGCCCAAGGCAACCCGATGCTCCAACAAACGCTCCAGAACCCTGCGCTCCTTCGGCAGTCCCTTCAAGCAGTCCAAAGCGACCCCTACATGCGTCAACAGATGCAGCAGATGATGAACAACCCCCAGCAAATGCAGCAAATGATGGCAAGTAACCCGATGTTTGGTGGCGCGGCCGCAAACCCTTTTGATGGTGGGTTTGGAGCACCAGGGCCGTCGCCAGCGGCTGTGTCTCCGTTCGGTGCCCCCGTGTCACTGACCAGCCAACAACCTTTTAATTCCCCAGCTCCCTCCACTTCCAGTTCCTCGACTGCCCCTCCCGCTGCGTCGCAAGTGCAAGCCCCGCTTCTATCCGAGGAAGACGAGATCGCAGAAGCCATTGCGCGGTCGTTGCGAGAGATGTAATGTAATCACATCGTAACGAAACTTTGTGCGAGGAAACCTGCTGAAAACATGTCCTTGCGCAAGGATGCATGTGCGGCGCGTTCACTGCCGCCACAGTTCCATTTCCCAAACTTGTAGCATGCATGATCACGATGCTAGTACGAACGTTTCTTCGCAACTACCACCAGCCAAACCGCAAACAGGCTTTGGAAGTTGCAGTGTCCTCACCAATCGCGAGATTTGACGACGTTTTAGGCTTGCCACACGCAATCAAAATG